TATCCAATTAAATTCATACTAATACCAGACATCTCACCTTCAATCCAAAGCAAATAATAACCAGTGGAATAGCATTCACAGAACCACTGGCAAAACGTTATTATAGTCCAAGAATCCTACACTCAAATGATACATTAATTACTGGTTTAAGTGAAAGAAAAATATCTTAGGATGTACAAGACTTCAGTGAATATACCACCTATGTACTGCCTCTGAGGAAAACACTTTAATCAGAAAAAAAATCAATAAATGTTAGTTATTACTAGTGTTGTTACTAAACGATCAACATTGAATACTATTCACCCATAAAGAGGAATTAAATAATGGCATTTGCAGCAGCCTGAATGGAATTGGAGACCATCATTCTAAGTGAAGCAACTCAGAAGTGGAAACCCAAACATCGTACATTCTCACTCATAAGTGGGAGCTAAACTATGAGGAAATAAAGGCATAATAATGATACAATGGACTTTAGGGACTTGGAGGAAAGAGTGAAGGGGTGAGGAATAAAAGACTACAAATTGGGTACTGTGCATACTGCTCAGGTGATGGCTTCACCAAAATCTCACAAATTGCCACTAAAGAACTTACGTAACTAAACACCACATGTTCCCCAGAAACCTACGGAAATTTAAAAAAAGAAAGAAAGAAATCAAAAGAGAATCTAAGTAATGAAGAAAAAGTGAGACAGAATAAATTTTAAAGAGATTCTAGTAGTTAGTCAAGGAGCTGGGGGATGACCAGCTACAGACTGTTTCAATGATTTTTTTAAAAACCTTAATAAAGTGTAAGCAAAGAGATAGCATGTAAGGGAAACCACAGAAGGATGAACTGGGGAAGGGTGTACAATATCAACCAGAATGGAGCATAACATTGAATACACTAGTCAGATAAAAATAGGTATTATACAATTATGAAATATAATCAGTTAGTATATGACAGTGAAAAAAGGTGGCTGTGTAACTGTCGTAAACATGTATATAACAACCAACATAACTGGTAGCTCACAAAGCCAAACCTTCTTAAAGTGCCGAGAATAGCAAAGAATAAAAAGTTAATTATCATGGGAGACTTCAATGTGTTTATGTCAGAAACGGACAGATGTAGTGGATACAGTTTGAGTCAGGTAAACATTGAATAATATAATTCATTAAATGTGAGATAATGTATATTAAGAAATATACATATCCCCAAAAGAAACAAGAGGATTTCAGTAAATGTATGTCCATGTAATATTTACAATAATTAGTCATCTTGGTCACAAAGACTATCCCAGTGAATTCTTTTTAAGTAAAGATTTTACAGTTACATTCTCAGCATAGTGCAATGCAATTTAAAATTAATAGACCTAATAACATGGGGAGAAATGTCAGATATAGGTGATGGGTAGGAAGGCAGCAAACCACATTGCCATGTATGTACCTATGCAACAATCTTGCATGTTCTTCACATGTACCCCAAAACGTAAAACGCAATAAAACATATATTAAAAAGTAAATAAAACCCCAAAACCTAAAATGCAATAAAATAAATAAATGGGAAAAAATAAATAAATAAATAAATAAAAATAAATAAATAAGTAAATAAAAATTAAATTAAATTAAATTAATAGACCTAGAAAAAAATTATAATACAACAAATAGAAAAAAGGCCCATATCAATGATGTGTGAGCTGTTATAAGTTCACATAGAGAAGACAAATATCCTGACAGAAAAAAAATGACAAAACATATGAATGAACATGCACAGAGAAGATACCCAAGATCTTAGAACAGGGCAAACATGCTCCAATTTACTGATTAGCATCAATAGTGAAAGAACTGAATGAAATACCACATATCTACACCCTGGAAAAATGTGCAGAAATTCACATAGAAGAATTAGAGACTACTCATTTGAGTTGGAGGGATTTCCTTTGCATGTTATTTTTAAAAAGCAAGATAGTCAAATCTACACAGACTTAGGGGAAAGGGTTGGGGAAAGGAGGTTAGGGATAAAAGTCTACAAATTGGGTACAGTGAAAGTACCCAATATGATATAAGTAGATTAATGATCATCAAGAGCTGGGGATGGGAACAAGGATTAACTGTCGATCCCGGCAGAGATCATATTGGGGTGATGGAAATGTTCTAAAATGGATTATGGTAATGATTGCAAAACTCAATCATCGAATTGTGCACTTAAATGAATTTCATATTATTTAAATTATACTTTGTTTAAAATTTTTAAACTAGACATTTTTAAAAGGAAGGTATAGAAACATGGGCATAACATGATTGTTTGTTTTTTGTTTTTTTGTTTTTTTTTGCAAAACACATAATTGAGGAAGGTGTAAGAGTAGACTAAACCAGTAATAAAATAAAATTAAAAGATTGCACTAAAAATAGAATATATATGATGAGATCTCTACATTTATGTAAAATTTTATATAGGTACGTTTATGTAAAATTTTATATAGGTATGTTATGTGCGTGAATGTTATTATATCTGTAATTAACTTTAAATACTTCAGCGTAGTATTTTGAGGAACCTCCATACTATTTCTTATAGTGGCTATCCTAATTTACATTCCCACCAACAGTGTATGAGGGGTCCCCTTTCTCCATATTCTCACCAGAATTTCTTATCATCTGTCTTTCGTATAAAAGCCATTTTAATGGCTGAGGTGATATTACATTGTAGTTTTAAATTGTATTTCTCTGATGATCAATGATGTTGGTATTTTTTTCACATATCTATTGCCCATTTGTATGTTTTCTTTTGAGAAATGTCTACTAAGATCTTTTGCCCATTTTTAAATTAAGATTATTTTTCCTATTGAGTTGTTTGAGTTTCTTATATATTCTGATTATTAATCACTTGTCAATGGATAGTTTGCCAATATTTTCTCCAATTCAGTGTACTGTCTCCTGACTTCGTTGGTTGTTTCCTTTGCTGTACAGAGGATTTTTAGCTTGATGTAATCCCATTTGTCCATTATACTTTGGTTGCCTGTGCTTATAGGGTATTAGTCAAGAAATATTTGTCCAGATCAATGTCCTTAAGAGTTTCCCCAGTGTTTTCTTGTACTAATTTCATAGTTTGGGGTCTTAGATTTAAGCTTCGAATCCATTTTGCTTGGAATTTGTATATGGCAAGAGATAGAGGTCTAATATCATTCTTCTGCATGTGGATATACAGTTAACATATGATTCAGCAATCTCATTGCTAAGTATATATCCAAAAGAAAAGAAATCAGTATGTCAAAAGATATATCTGCACTCCAAAGTTTATTGCCAACGCTATTCATAGTAGCCAAAATTTGGAATCAACTAAAGTTTCTATCAACAAATGAATGCATAAAGAAAATGTGGTACATATACACAATGAAATATTATTCAGCCATAAAAAAGAAGAAACTCCCATCATTTGCAACAACATGGATTGAACTGGGGTATATTATGTTAAGTGAACCAAGCCAGACAATGAAAGACAAATTTTGCATGCTCTCACTCCTATGTAGGAGCTAAAATTAAAACAATTGATCTCGTGGAGACAAAGAGTAGAATACTGGTTACCAGATGCTGGGAAGGGGATCAGGGAGGAGGATAAAATGTGAGAATGGTTAATAGGTCCAAAAATGTAGTTAGATAGAATGAATAAGGCGTAGTTTTTCGTAGCACAGGAGGGCAACTATAGTCAACAATAATTTATTATATATTTTTAAATATCTAAAGAGTGGAACTAGAATGTTTCTAACACAGAGAAATGATAAATACTTGAGGTGATAGATACCCACTTACCCTGATGTGATTATTACATGCTGTATTCTGTATCAAAACATCACCTATGCCCCATAAATACATATAACAATTATGTACCCATAATAATAAAATAATTAAAAAATTTTAAACCATGTTTGGGAAGTGATTAAGTCATGAAGGCTCCACTTTTGTGAATGGGATTTATGACCTTATAAAACGGGTTTCCAAGAGCCGTCTGGCCCTTCCATCTCTTTGCTTGTGAGGACACAGCCTTAGTCCATTTTCCCCCTTCTGCCTTGTGAGGGTACAGCAATAAGAGGCCATCTTGGAAACCGAGAGCCGCCTTCACCATACACTAACACAGAATCTGCTGGCATCTTGATATTAGGCTTACCAGTGTCCAGAATTGTGGAGAAATTCATGCCTGCTCTTTATTTCAAAAATAAAAATAAATAAAATACTTAAGTAGAGGCAATATAACATTATGCGTGTACAAGTTAGTTTATGATTCCACTGTAGCGACTATCAGTTTCCCTAATAATAAATCCATACTCCAGTGAAGGTTCTATAAACTCTTATCAGAAACCCACAAATCAGCAGTGGCCATTCCAGGTGCTCCTGTTTTCCACATCTTGATTATCACCTAAACATAGAAAAGGTCTGGAAAACTATTTTACTGGTAAAATTGTTGGTCTAATTAAAATGGCAAATGTTAGAATTGGACTCCTATTGGTAAAATTAAAGATAGTCAAGAAATGTGCATTGGATAAAATACTATGAGACCCATACTCCCTCCAATCCCTTGTATGAGCAAAATAGAAGACAGTGGTGTGTCTCCTGAATTCCTAGGAAAGGTAATAAAGATTGGCCAATACCTTTGCAAATCAGTGTGACTATTAGGATATTAAAAGCCAGCATCCAGAAATGCTGTCATGTCACCCTAGTGACCCTTTCATCTAGTATGGATGTTGAAGAATTTAAAAGAACAAAGAGCCTTGCCTTCTTTACGCTGACAAACCTAGTTATAGATGCTATTTTCTGCCTACTTACTGATGTTCGCTTGTTTAGTAAATGTCTTTATGTGTGTAACAATTTTGTCTGAGATTTCTTTCACGATAACCTGGGAGTCAGATTGTGGGGGACTGCTAACTCTCACCAGCTACATCAACTAGTGGCTACCATTCTCAACCAAAGAACCACTTCAGAAAGAAATTAGCTTTGTCAGTTCACAACAATAAAGAAACCAAAGTATCTTTTAAAAAGAAAACTGTATAGATTATCTCTTTATTAAAAGCATGGTGCCATGAGTATACACAAACAAAGCTTTTATACTTAATATTTGGGATGTCACAGGTTTCCCCATTTCCATGTAGAAACTACTGAGTCTACTGCCAACAGGTAAGCCCGTAAACCTTAGAGATAGTCACGCATATTCAACCCTTACTTCAGTAGACAAGGTGTGAAATTTGAAGGACCCAGGTAGGGTCCCTGTTTCTATTCAATTACAGTATTCGAGATGTAAACTTTTTGGAAGCAGACTTTTAACAATGTACAAGATAAGATAGCTTAATGGTCACAGAGATTTGCAGTTCTCTCTCTGCAGGTACAGACCGGTATATAGGTGTCCATTTGTCTGGTTGCTCACCATGGCCGGCTAGTGAATGCTGAGATTTCATAGTGACAAAGTCGCTGCGGAGGCTTCATTTGTTGCTTGGGTTTTGAAAAGCAGGAGCATGAATGAGCAAAGGACCAAAATCTTCATCCCACTGGAAAGTATACAGCAAAGGAGGCAATCCTAATAAATAAATGAAATTAAATTAGAAAGGGAAAGGACAGAAGTAACTGGAACTTGTAATTGGAGATTTTCAGTTAATTAAAATGAAACCACTGAGAGAGTTTTGATTAGTTCAATGGGTGATCTTCTTCCACAAAAACTACTAAGAAGACACAAATAACTGGCATTTTGAAACTAAAGGAGGGAAGTTGGATGTCTGAGAGCAAATGAAGAGAAAAAACATGAAATGATAGTGGCTGCATATGAAATGGAGAGAATAATACAAGAAAAGGGAAATCTATTTAAAGACATTATTCAGGAAGAAACTACAAGATCTGTTGATAGCGAACAAAAGATAAATTTCTCATTGATGTAAGGTGAAATGAACACACACTTCATCCATCCACCAGCATCTCATGAATCTTCTAAAAGTGGGACTTCCAACATGTTACTTTCTGTCCCCAGAGGGGAGAGCCTTAGTTAAGAATCTAAGAATAAGGTCTAAATTCCTTACCTTGAAATTTAAGCCTTTCTGTAGTGTAGTCCCAAATTCTCTTTTTCAAATCTACCTTTAAAAATAATTCTGATTGCAGAAGTCTTGGGAGTTTCTGTTCCGCAATTCAGAAGCAAATTTAAAACTAAGTGTATATGACTCAATCCTGATCAAGAACAAGGCTTTCTTAGCCCACTATCTTTCTAAGTGTTCCACCTTCTATTCTAACATGGGGAGATGTACAAGGCTGTGAGTTAGAGAAATCAGTGAAGGACCTTCACATCCAGTGGCACACTGTCTGTGTGAGATGGATCTGCAAGCAGGACGGGCCTGGGCAGAGACATAGCACAGGTAAGCTAAGCAATTGACTTCAGTCTATGGGCTGACCATGTACTCTTTTGGCCTCATTAAAGGCTATGTCTCTCTTGCAAGAACTTTTATTTCTTCATTTCACTCTCTCCTGTCATTAGAAGCCCAACTCCTCTTCCCTCAGCTTCCGGTTACTTTTTCACTCAATCCCTGTAAGTTGAGAAGCCATCGACCTGTATAACGATTGAGTGTTTGCAACCATCATGGCTCCTCAGTGGACAACTGCAGACTCCCATCTAGCTCTGACACAGTTCAGGCTGGAGGAAATGAGAGTACAAGAAAAAGGAGGAACCCAAAAAATAACCATGAAATAGTTATTGCTGTGAGGTTACTTCATATGTCCTAAATTTTACACGATTGATTCGTTCTTCAGCAAGAAATGTTTCACTGTTTCCGTGGTATTTTAGTTTCCTTTTGGGATCTAAGCTATATTTCTTAAATGAAGAAATTATATTTCTTAAATCTAAGCTATATTAAAAGTAATGGCAAAAATGATAATATTAAGTGTAACCACCCTGACACAATGCCATAAGATGCATTTTCAACCGTGCTTCATCCCAAAGTCTGCCTTCTTCTTATTTATACCTGGACTGCTGATTCATCACTGCTAGAGAAAAATTACACAACCACTTAGATTGATACTATTAAAAATTCATGGCCTCAAACTTTAAGTGTCTAGAAATCCTGCAGTTCTTCTTCAGGCAAATCTCTTTCCTATTGTTTACAGTGACTATTTTTATACTTCTCTGTCTTCCTCAAACCACTGGACCAGAGGCTGCTCACTTCATTCTCAGCAAATGACCTAACCTGCTGTTTATAAAGCAAACAGAAACCTGCTGTTTGGAATTACCTCAATTCCTCTGCCAAACCCATAATCTCATCTGTTTCTGAATATATATCCATATTCTATCCTCCTTTCCTTGCTGTAAATGCAAAATCAACATATGTCCTCACAATTTACTGTTCTCTTTTTCATGTATTATTTTGGAGAGATAAACAGGAGTATCTGCTGTATAATATTGGAGGCTCCCTCCACATTGCCTGACAAGAATCTGCCTGAGATTAGTGGCGCCTCATTCTCCAGTGGGAGGGGTTTCTATTATTTTCAGCTTCGCGTAAGGTGTCCAAGTTCTATCACACCAGGGATTTGATATCCATGATAGCGGGTAAGCAGCTGCAAGATGTCTGCCTGTGACTCCTTGAGGAGTTGGTATGCAAATCTAGACTGCATATTATTTGCTCTCTCCGTTTAGTACGAAGGATGATAACAGGAGAGTTAGGGCCGTTCCCAAGAGCATTGCTTTACTGCAGGTCCAACTGTGCTCAGGAATAAGGTATATACAGATCTCATGCATTTCAGCATATAATCTCTTCTTTAATCATCGTGCAAGAATAAGTAGGATCATCTTGCTCCAGGGATACAAGATTACGCACACCATCCATACTGCTAAGTGTGTCCCCAGTCATTCGCATCTGACAACCTCTCCTAGGGAGTAAAGATATCACTACAAGATGCAGGAACTAACATCTATGAGCTTCACCTCAGTTTTAAGATGTATATCCAGTGGTGTTGTGGCCCTCACTCTGTATCTTCCCTCTTTCAGGGTTCTTGACACATTTTAAGAGGGAGTTCCAGGTCTCTGGCAATGGGAAAATCCCCAAGATGGAGCTAGGTGCTCCACTCATTCTGACATCAAGATTTACTATCCCAATATGCGGAGGGGGCGGGGGGGGCAGGGGGTTGGTTTGTTTTGTTTGTTTTGAAATAAGGTCTCGCTCTGTCACCCAGCCTGGAGTGCAGTGGTGTTACCATGGTTCACTGCAACCTTGACCTCCCCGGCCCAAGCAATCCTCCTACCTCAGCCTCCCCTAGTAGCTGGGACTATGGGTGCATGCCACCACACCCAGCTAGCTTTTGTATTTTTTTGTAGTGACAGGGTTTTGCCGTGATGCCCAAGCTGGTCTTAAACTCCTGAGCTCAAGTGACCCTACTGCCTCAGCCAGTCAGAATACTGGAAGTACAGGCCTCAGTCTGTAATGTGTACTTTTGATAAACTGTACCCAGCCACATGCAGTTTGGATAAACACTAAAGTCACATGAATCGTAAAAATCACAGCTCAAACCATATCATAATCACAAAAGGAAGCCAAAATATTAAGAGAATACAAGACGTTTAAAAGTGGTAAGAGCCCTTCCTAAGAGAACAAATGAAGGACAACCAAGGCCATGATGGGTCAACCAAAGACTTCAATAGTTCAGACACAATTTTGTTTAAAATTTTCACTTTTTAACCATTCCCAGGGCAGGACATTGAATGCATTGATTATTTCCTGGCACTCCGTCAGCACTGACTCAGTAAGATGGGCAGCTGGTACCCACTCTGACTCTGCCTCTATCTATGAGATAGTAGATGATTCCAGAGAGACTTTCCATGGAACTACAGGCAGAAGCCAACTCACAGCGGTACAAGAGCCTAAGAAGTGGATTCTAGCTGGTGTTTTTTTAACATATCCATACACTTGGTAATAAATTATTAGTATCCATCTTCCAGTGGCTTACAGCATGTCATTTCTTCCCATTTCTACAATAGTTTGCTCGAACTTCACTGTCATTTGGATTTTAGTTTGCTTCTATACAGGTGGGTTGTTTTTTTTTTCCTTGATTTCATATTTTTCTCAAGGGAGCTGTGAATACAATGGACTTCAAACCAGACCGTTTGATCTCTCCTTGTGCTTAACTTTCCAGGAAGATGTCGCAATTGCCCCCGAACAATAATCAAAAGGCACTTCTATCTCTTCCTCTGAAATATCACAGCTCCCGGATGGGGAAGGAAGGAGAGATGTTAAATCCCTCACATCTTTAGTTTTGAGAGTGAGAGGAGATGAAAGAAGATGAAAACAGGCTTCAAAACACACAGAGAACTCCTGTATTTACAAAGGGGAAAAAAACAATGGCATTCAAAATGCTACAGAGCAGTGTAAGTAGTATCTCCAACTCCCAAGCAAATAAAATACCTTTCACTAAAGAAATCTTATGTGACCTGAGACAATAAACTTCTGTACAGTTCAGCAGTTGATTTTATAGCTAAAATAGTCAGGCTTTGCCTCCACATATCCACAGTTCTGGAACATGAAGCTTTTCAATACCCATCATGTTCAAATTACTGCCACCCCATAATTTCCTCAATCCCATCCCACTGAAATGGAATGTGTCATATGCAATCTGAACTTCCATCATAGCAGCCGTTTAAAATCAAGAGGGGCTGGAAGTTACCTATATGGTCTGTTATGAACTTCCTAAACATAAATAAGAGATTTCAGTCCCATGCAAGTAGAAACCAGTGGTGAATTTATGATACGAGTTTTATTTGTTTTTCAATTAAGAACTTAAAAAAGAGTTGACAAAATGTTTTTTGAAAGCTTTGAAAAGAGGCAGAATAGCAAACTGACGCAAGAACAGAAAACCAAACACCACATGTTCTCACTCATAAGTGGGTGTTGAACAATGAGAACACATGGACACAGGGAGGGGAACGTCACACACCAGGGCCTGTGGGGGGACGGGGAGTTAGGGGAGGGGCAGCAGGGGGTGGGGAGATAGAGGAAAGAGAGCATTAGGAAAAATACCTAATGTAGATGATGGGGTGATGGATGCTACAAACCACCATAGCATGTGTATACCTATGTAACAAACCTGCACGTTCTGCACATGTACCCCAGAATGTAAAGTAAGATTTAAAAAAGAAGAAAGGAGGCAAAATAGACCTACTGTAGAGAGTTTCTGAGTTGGAGAGTGGAGTTCAGGCACCTTAGGAGAAGCTGGGACCTAGGAATCAGCATTTGATCTAACGTAGTGAATGTCAAGGAAGATAAGTGGTAGAGAGGGACAGATTGGGCAGGTGGAGTTTAATATCTAGAGACATACAGTGTCTTGTGGCACAGCTGGTGATTGTCATCATCAGAGAGGCAGTGGGTGGGGTGAGGTCCCTGCAGGTAGAGGGTGCACCACAATGGGGTACCTGGAATGCTGCCAACAACAGGGAAGACTGGCAACAAGGAAAGAGCCTCAGCTCCTGGACTACTGTGTGATTTAATAACTGAAGGAGAGTGGAAGGAACAAGGCAGCATTTCAATAAAAATGACAGCGATTCCTAACAAC